CTCTCTCTCTCTCTCTCTCTCTCTCTCTCTCTCTCTCTCTCTCTCGCAAAAGCCGCAATTTCCGGCGCGCGAATCTCGAAAATTCCGCGCGTTGCCGCGTGAGTCGTGCCTTGCCGTCGAGCGAGTCTTCTCGGGATTCGTTTCGTACGGGCTACATTCCGACCTCGGTCGCAGAGCGAGGGGAGAGAAGCAGAGCAGAGGGAGGGGCCCTACCTGGCCGTAGGAAGCACCAGCGCGGCGCCAGAAAATACATAGAATAGAGTATACGGTGGAATACGGTTAGCTCACGGTTCCGCGCAGCGGAGAGTGGATTCGTGTGTGCCGGGTCTCGCCTATATTTAACGTGGGAAGAACGATGTTCTGGAAAAAGGATCGAACAGATCGCGGCGACGGCGTTACCCGGAGCGTCGGAATCGCGCTCTCGATTTTATCGCGCCCGCGCAAAATCGCGTTGCGTCGCGTCGCCTCGATACTTACCGCATACCGTCTCGCCGCGTGTATGCGGCGCGGATCAATACGACCTGTCACTTCAGCATTACCTTGTTTCGTTTTATTTTTAGCGTATGAATTTGGCGAGCCGGTATACACGGAGCAATAAGTTTGGCGATTTAAGCAACCATGAGTGTGAGTAGAAACGCGCAAAGTCGCTCGGAGGAGTTTAGATCGGACGGGCCGAACGCGTCGTCTCCGAGGGACTGAAATTTCGCAGAACCAAGTGTTCCACGTGCCGCGAGTATAACGGATGTATAACGTAACGGATATGCGTTAAGCGTGAAAAATTTAAGGAGGAAGACCGCGGGGAAAAATAACGGTGGGAGAGCGGGAGAAAGAGTGAAAGCGCCGAAAGGATAGAATGGGAAGGGATGACGACGACGACGACGACGACGACGACGACGACGGCAGCAGTAACAAAGTGGTAACGGCGAGTTACAAGAGGCAAGGAAAGCGAAGAGGAGGCGAGATAAAAGAGGATAATATGAGAGAGGAACGTCGGATGTGACTCATGCTCGTCGACGTCGCCACCGCAGCCGCCGCCGCCGCCGCTATTATACAGGGTGCTCGTAGATTTGTGCGTACGCTCCACGTGAGCGAGTTTTGTTTGTTTGATTACTGATGACGAATGTCACGATGCAAGTGCGCGCGTGAAACAATGCAATGCGGCACTGATTGTTTTTGCACGAGTGACTATCAAAATTAATTACCGGCGACGTACGGTGACGTAAACACGCCGCATCGTGCCATCGTGCACACAGTGGGATCACAAATGAGATTTCATGTTTCAAAAAAGGCTATAGCTTCGAAATTTCCATCGATTTCAATGTTTTTTTTCTTTTTAATAAAAACTAATGAAATTTAGAACAACTTTGTCGAATCAAATTTTTGTTTCCCCTTTTTTTCTAAATTAGATATAAAGAAGATAGATTCAGAAATTTTTTAAAATATTATTAGCTTTCAATAAAAAAAAAAGCATCGAAATCGGTTTAAATCTCGAAACCTTTATTCAATCTTTTTGAAACATGAAATTTCATTTGACCCCACTGTATGTCGGTCGAAACGCGTGAAAATAGCATCTCGCTCTCGAACGCGCCAAAATATAATGTAGATCGCGGACTCTTGTGAAATTCTACTCTTTTCTGATAAAAACAAAAAAAAAGTCCAATTTCGTCGTGTCTTTTCGATTATTTGCATTATGTATTGATCGTTTCTGCACAGAGAGAATTTTGTAGTAAAAATTAATATAGAATTTTGTAACCAATAAGGATACCAAAGGGATAAGTCAACATTCTGCAGCAATGAACTATCTCTCCTTTGGTTTCCTACATTTAAAAAATTGAAATATAAAAACTAAATGCAAAAAATTTGCTACGTTTCTAGCGAAATTAACTATACAAGTTGGAATATTTCCGCGCTATTGGAACACAGTAAAATTAAAGAGATAATTTGTATGAACAGCAACTATAACGTTCTTCCCGTGTGTCGGCAATTACAGATAAACGCGGGAAATTTTTCGCAGGAGAAACAATTCTTGTTATTCGCAATCTTTCATAAATATTATTCCCTGCATTGAGAAAAGATCGTTGGTGCACGCTTGACATTTTTTTGTGCGAAAGTTTATTTCTGTGGAACAAAGTTTATTTCTGTGGGAGTAAACTTTATATTCCACGAATAAATTTTCAAGTATTTCTTTTCTCAGTGTACTATTCGGATCACAGTCGACAAAATTGTTTTCATATTTTTCACATATTTTTTTCTTTGCTGCAGAAAAGCCGACTTTGCCGATAAAATCGGTACGTTCTTTTTGCTCGGCGAAGAGGTGAAACGCAACCCCGTAGCGATCGTGGTGTTTCCCGAGGTCGCGAAGAGCTAAACACCCCCAGTACCAGTATCGATTTCCGTCGTGCACGTCACAAATGCATGACCATCAGGAAGTCCGCACGTCATCGCGCGGCGAGTTACGAGCGCGCGCGCTTACGTCATCACGACGCGGTGCCAAAACTCGCCCGGATGGACGAGGCGCGGCGGGCGAGGTGCCGCCGCTTGTAAGGAAGCTTTCCCGAAAATACAGCCGGATGAGAGATACATACGAGAAAACACGAGGGAATCGAGGTCGAGAAACGCGGCGCGCGAAGACGATGATGCATCGCGCGCTGAAGAATTTATAGGGGATTAAACAAACGTTTAGGGAGCCAACTGACTCTATTTGCGAACCGCCGCGTTGCAATTCGCAAAATTCTAAGTCGCTCCAGCTCGTTTGCGAGTAATTGCTGGGTATATATACATGAGGATGGGGTGTGCACGGTGAAATTGTTGCGCGACCGACGAAGAGCCGATCACTCGTGCTCGAAACTGAGAGAGCACGGAATGAAATTTTTTTCGTACGACGTGTTTCGTTCCCACAGGAAATCGAACTCGAAAATTGGAAAATTAATAACATTCCGACTTCTGTCTTCGAAGCAGTTTGACTTATAGAGCAGCAGCAACTCTAGATTATAAAGGAAGGGGAAGCAAAAAGAAGAAGAAAAAGTCTTCAAAGTACACAGAGAGAATAGAATTATAGAGTTTTTCTTTCTTCCATAAAAATCCTCTTCCAATTCCACAATGTTTCTAGTTGTGTAGGGATAGATAGGCGGCTGTCGGGCCTATTTTACCAAAAAAATCTAGTAAAAAAAAAGATAGTCGATTACTGCAAAATGCCGATCTATTCTTCTGTCGCAAAATTCTCTAGCAGTTTTCATCATAAAATTGTACTATTTACTATCGAATTTGCTATAAAGTTTCACTATAAAATATTTCTCTCCGTGCAAGCATTCCTCGATCATCGCGAACCGTCTTCTTTCCCTGCAAGACTTCGATATTTCCAAGAGCGAACACCTGAAATTGTAAGTGCGTCCGGAAAAAGATAAATATCCGCTCCCTTGGTCGGAAGTTATTTGGGACTCGACTCAATAACTTCGCCCAGGGTCCCCGGTGCTTTAAATCCGCCACTGACTGCGCGATCACCAGGACGATGGAAGTGGGTTTCGGTCGAAGTAATCCTGGAGGAGGCGATCGGTGGGTTAACCTCGACCCCGTGGGGCCTTGACGGCGGAGGGGGAACCACGGCGGCGGATCTGATCGATGAAGAAAAGTATGCTATTTCAGAAGGCCTGAAAAGAGTAGGCAAGAGACATGGCTGAATCGCGCGGATGTTCGGCGCGATGACACCTTGTTGAGGAAGCAGCACGAGAAAGAGTCATTTCCGACAGTGACAAATTCTCTCCCTCTTAGCACACCTCGCTTTTCTACTCGGGGTGGCGCGAAAGGATTCACCTCGCTTTTCCAGAGAAGCAAAAAATAAAAAAAAGAAGGAGAGAGGGAGAAGAGTCCCTCTTCTTTTCTCTCGAGCTAATACTCTCGGCTGATATCCCGCGGCAAAGAATCCGACGAGAATGCAGCGCGATTAATCTGTCCTGGCGAAACCTAAGAAAGTGTATCGCGTGATGAGAGAGAGAGAGAGAGAGAGAGAGAGAGAGAGAGAGAGAGAGAGAGAGAGAG